TAATGACTACGACTTAGGTTGTACACCCTTGACATAAATTTTAAATTTTACTGTCTTTCAATTTAAATCATAATTGTCATTTTTATGAATAAAGATATGAAGAAAAATTGGGTGCATTTTTTTATATCATTTTTTCGAAAACTTATCGATACATCTATGTGAACCGTACGAAACATACCCAACACTAGTCACATTCGTTTGACAGCCGTCATTCTAATCAAGCTATATTGGATAGACTATATGACGATAACCGGAGCTTTTTGTATGGAATTTGTCAGATTTTTGACGTTTGTCAAAGTTAAAGTAAGATGGTGCAACTGAGCCTAAGGGTTTGACTTTGACGTATTTTGTCGGGAGAACGAGACATATACGACAAATACACAAGATGGGAAGAGATAGAATAGATTGTCAGTTCGACAGTCGAATCGACCTTTTGTATCGCTGCTAGTTGGCCGTACTTTACGATAATTTTGATATCCTGTAAAAGCTTTAATTACAATAAACAAAACATTTTTAAATACCTGTACGTAATCGCGTCTTTCGTGTACGTGATCTTGGCGTAAATGTACTTCTGTTTCTTGTACTCGAACGTTTCTCCGTCGTCTATGTACAGGGTGCCCTCAGCCGTGTTCTAAAATTGGAAAAGTAAATAATAAATAATAATTATTATTATCCTTGGACATTTTACACTACGCTTCTAGTCCCAAACTAAGCAAAGCTTAGCACTAGACAACGGATATAAACAAAGTAAAACAGAGGTTGTTTGTAGATACAATATTTTGTAGGTTTTCCCACTACCTCGTACTGAGCTAAAAAAAAAAACAATAAGTTTCAAGCATATTCGATGAATATCTGGGTTAAAACAAAATGAGGCAAAAAATTCGGTGGGAACTATTTTCCCACTACCTTATACTGAGCTCAAAAAAGCAATAATAAGTTTCAAGTGTATTCCGTAAATATCTGAACTAATAAAACAAGGGAATGGCGGGAAATATTTTCCCACTACCTTATACTGAGCTAAATCAATAAGTTTCAAGTATATCCGATGAATATCTGGGTTAAAACAAGGGAATGAGGTAAAAACTTCAGTGGGAAATATTTTCCCACTACCTTATCATGAGCTAAAACAATAAGTTTCAAGTATATTCGATGAATATCTGGATTAAAAAAAACAAGAGAATGTGGTGAAAAGTTTGGTGGGAACTATTTTCCCACTAGCCTTTATTGAGCTGAAACAATAAGTTTCAAGTATATTCGATGAATATCTGGGTTAAAACAAGGGAATGAGGTAAACGTTTTGGTGGGAACTATTTTCCCACTACCTTATACCGAGCTACCAAATGTTTTTAACTCACATTAGCGTCAAGCGCAATGACGAGCGTATAAGGGTCGTTGGCCATGAGCGCGGACGACCGTCGCACGCGCTCCTTGCGCGGGACTATACTGCCTCCTCGCTGGTATACCGGGATCTGGGGAGAAATTCATTCATCGTCAAATTCAAATTCAAAGCGTTTATTGCATGTCACATTACAATTATAGTGGTGTTACAAAATAGAGGTAGGCATACATGTGACGCCCTGCAAGGGCACAGCAAAACATCAGAGAGGAGGTTATCGGGACTATTCCCACCGCTGCAACTCCTGTGTAGAATCTGCAGCTTGACCGCCAATAAAAACCCAAACGATGAAGGCTAAGTTTGTCCCGGGGGAAAGTTAAACTGCCATTGGACCCGCAACGAAATTAATCAGAAGAACATAAGAGGAGTTCGAAGTTAAGGTTCCCTCTAGTGCAGGTTCGACTTCCCTCCAGTGAGATAGAGGTATGGCAGTCAGTTCTTCTATGGCTGAAGATTCGGGTTGAAGCTCGCTTCCACCTTCAACCTGTCACTTTGCATCAGGTGAGATGCAGGCCAAGAACTTTTATGGAGACGATTCTTTTTTCCTGATCCACACACATCGCGGTAACCCGAAGATTCGCTATTCGCTTAGCACATACAGTGCATTCAAAACTAATTTCTATAAAATAGATATTACATTTTTTGGCGATAAGAGTCTCGATCTAAATTTTTAAAATAACTTGAAAAAGTCGAACTGCCTAAGGTCATCCAGTATCTAAGTAGCTCAGATGGAAGAGCAGTCGCCCGGTAAGCGAAAGGTCGTGGGTTCCATTTCCGCCTTAAGCAATTTTTATTTCAAGTTATTTTAAAAAAATCTATAAAATGCCGCAAGACTACCCAACCAAACATCTAAAAATAAACACTAACCTTAGCGATGTTAACTTCCTGCGTAAAGTACCCGTTAGCCTTGTGCGCCTGGTACGAGTCCACGTCGTACCAGATGGTGTGGGATTCAGCTCCCGGTAAGTACACTTGTACGGTCGTCGCGCCCGCGGCTGTGACTGGCCGGACGAGGAGTTTGTTGCCTGGAGGTGACGTAATTTTTTATAATATTTAACTTTTTGACATTTTATTAAATTTAACGGTTTGACATTGTATTCATTTGACATTTAGAAATGTATTTATTACTATTTAATTAATTTTTAGTCTGCACTCTGTATTAATTTTAAATGTGGAAACTTTGCTGATTTCTGTCCTATTTTTTGTGTGATTATTTGTCTGTATATCAAAATTGTTTGTTTCTTTAATATAAATATAAAAAAATATTGAAATAAATAGTCTAGTAACTTTCAGTAAATATTATATGTATTATAATAAATATACACAGAAGGCAAATGGACATAGTTCAGTCATTGTTGTAAGGAAAGAAAGCTGTTAAGCTTCAACCATACCAACTATCACGGTACGGCACCATCGGTAAATGCAAACTACTATAGTCCTTTTAACACTTAAGCGCTCACCAGTTCACGTTGTTGTTTTAGGCATTATCAAAGTGACAGGTCCTTATTCTACAGTGGCGCCAACTGGTGACCTTTCAAACGATATAACCTTCATTAAAATTTGTTGATTTGATAGCGGGAAAAAAACCAGCCATTCTCTCTATATCACTGTAGTTAGGGTCGCCATTGAAAGGAATTCTATCAGACAAAAAAATGTTACGAGTATTGCCACAATAACGTGAGGAGTTTAGGCCAAATCCTTCAAAATAAAGAGGGTGGGCTCCTGCAATGGAGACTATAAATGACCTGTAGGCTTAGGGTGAGCGCCGTGATAAGCGTTTATCACGCCATTTTATCGATGTTACGCGATAAGCCCATACATTTGTCGTCTAAAGTCATCGATAAGATTTTATCACGGCGCGCATCCTAGCCCGGCTGATCACCTAACGATGATGATAAACAATAAGATGGTCTTACCCAGCAGATAAGTGTCATCGATGGTGAAGGTAGCCTCTTCCTGAGGGTACTCCTGGAACAACGGCCTCATGACCGGCAGACCATCGCGCGTGTGCTCGTAGAATAGGGTGTACCTGGTATTTGTATCATTTATTAGGAAACATGGCAGAGCAACATGAGACTGATTATGAAATAGTAAAATCTTGACTTTCCTGGATAAAAAAGCAAGATTTTGAGTTAGTTCGTTAGTTAACTTATGAAAAAATAGTCGAAACTAATGAAAATTCAAAGATTATCTCTTTCGCGCGCCAAAGTTCAAAAGAAGATGAGACACGTGACGTCAAAGCTTGTAAAAAGTGTAGCATTTTTGACGTCACGCGGACCTTCATCGCACCATAACTTCGTAATTACTTGTTTGAATAACAAATCAAAATATACGCGTCCAATATTTTTTTGTAATATAATTGAAGGACTAAGTTTTTTTAGGAAACAAGCCTAATGTTTATGTATCGCTAAAGTCAAGTAGGTAAAGGTCGTGGTCTTGGTCTCTTGTGTTTTTATGCACCAATAGATAAAATGGTATCATGAAGGTTTAAGTACGATATTATAATATGTCAAGGAAGGACAGGATAGTTTTTACTCCAGTTTTTGAAAGGTGGACGCACGCGATAAAATATTTTTATGAAAGATCGATATTCACAAAAACTAGGTGCTATACGAAGATTTGTAAAAAAATACCAACAACCTCGCAGTACTAAATAAAGTCACTTAGTTTCAAACTTTCAAATAAATAGTTATTTATACGTTACCAGAAGTCGAGCAGTGCGTATCGGCGCCTAGTAGCGTCTCGTAAGAGCGCAGTAGTGGCAGGTTCATATAACCAGGGCTCGCGGCGTTTGGTCTCGATGTGAGAGTGCGCTCGGAAGAATGGTTGGTACGCACCCGCCTGCAGAAAAGAATATATTGTTGGTTACAATGGTTATCTACGTCAGGGTTTCCCAATTTTTTTTTTGCCAAGGAACCCTAATTGATTATACTTTTCCTAGCGGAACCCCCGTACTACTCCGCCCGCACGCCCTGCCCCTCCCTTGTGCGTAAACAAGTCGGTGCGCGCGAACAACGTGGGTCACGAAACGTGGCATAATATTTTTTACGGAACCCTTGCGGCCTTTCCACGGAACCCCAGGGTTCCGCGGACCACCATTCGGGAATCGCTGATTCTACGTACTTTTAATTGTGAAAAATTTTAAACGTTAAAATAACAGTATCATTACAGCCAATGAGCTGCTATCGTAGTGACATTGACGTAGTAATGTCAATGTCACACTAGAAACGTCAGAATAGAGGGACGCGCGCGAACGACTCAGTGCGCTTTTGTGCTAAGTGATGAATAAAATTGTATTTAAAATGAGGCAATATAATGAGTTAAATATCCAGTGTTTTATTTATGAGAATAGAATAGTCTTTATTTACGGTTACTACGGTAGCGTAGTAACCGTAAATAAAGACTATTACTTTATGGCGCATTTTTTTTGGTTCAAATCCGGCTCGAAGGATCAAATATGTAAGAATATTCTAGGCACTGCAGGGAATAATGTTGGTTACAATGGCGAATATAACTAGATTTGGACCCCTTGGAGATTGTGTAACTGGCGTAAAGAGGGTCCATATGTCATAGTCAAAGGTCGATATGCAGTCTCTTCGCGGAATGACTGGTTTATCCTAGGTTTGACCAAGGCCTTCAGGCAAACCCCGAAGTGATTTCTAATTTCGGCCTTTGACTAAGTCAAACCTAGAAGTGCCTAATCTGTTCAGTCAAACGTCAAAACTAAAATAATCTGTATCGGGCTTTGCCTAGTCAATCCTAGAAACGACTGGCAGACTCAGTCAGAAGTAGACAGCAAATAGAAAACCGGCCAAGTGCGAGTCGGATTCGCTCACGAAGGGTTCCGTGCGACTCTGTTCTTGTATGGGAGTTTTAATATCGAGCAGAAAACTGCAAAAAGTCACGTTTGCTGTATAGGAGGGGCTTAAATATTGAAGTATTTTATTGATTTATTTATTTTTAAAGTTAATAAAAAACTAAATCTTTTGAAAATGATTCATGAGTTACGAGCCTGGTGACAGACAACATTTAGCGAAGTCATAGTAATAGGGTCCCGTTTTAACTCTTTATCCTTTAAGACTTAAATGACCTTCTGTTACCTTAAAGTTTAAGGTAATAGAACCCTAAAAATTAGTAATTTCAAGATCAGTCTAGAAACACTGACAAACAACCGCAGTAAATAATTTTAGTTACTCATACCTTCACCTAAAGAACCGACCGTAACGCCTACGCGCCTTTGCAATAAATTCGAGATCAGAATGAAATATAGTTTAGTTTAAAGTCTTATTGAGGTTTGACTAGTCAAACCCCGATTTCATTGAGTTTCGACGTTTGCCTGACCAAATTAGTTACTCCTAGGTTTGACTAACATTCTTTAGTCAAAGACCGAAATGTTTGGGCTTTGACTAAGACTTCTAGTCAGACCTGAGGATTGACTAGTCAAACCTAGGAGTGCCGGAACTTCGAGGTTTGACTATAACACATATACAATCCGGCCGAGTTAACTGCGTACCTGGCAGCCGTGACGTCACATCAACGCTCTGGTACGGACAAGGCGAGCGCGGAGAGGTGTGCGGGTGAATGCGAGGCAGTCTCATTCTAGCAACCTTCGCGAAGAAAAACTTCTGTACGTAGTACTTATTATTATTCTGTAACTAGATGTCCAATCCTTACCTGGTACCAGCGCGTCATCAGCTCGGCCTGCGGGTACTGACCTGGTACCAGCGCGTCATCAGCTCGGCCTGCGAGTACTGACCTGGTACCAGCGCGTCACCGCTCGGCCTGCGGGTACTGACCTGGTACCAGCGCGTCATCAGCTCAGTCTGCGGGTACTGACCTGGTACCAGCGCGTCACGAGCTCGGCCTGCGGGTACTGACCTGGTACCAGCGCGTCACGAGCTCGGCCTGCGGGTACTAACCTGGTACCAGCGTATCACGGCTCGGCCTGCGGGTACTGACCTGGTACCAGCGCGTCATGAGCTCGGCTTCAGGGTACTGGAAGAAGCCGCCGACGTCGGAGCCGCAGAAGCTGACGCCGGCCACGCCGAGAGACAGGCACATGGGAACCGACGCCACCAGGAAGCCCCATTCGGCCGCGTTGTCGCCCGTCCATACTGCCGCGTACCTGGACGAAAGGTGGCAACGTTACCTGACGGCTTAAAGTAGGCGCACACCGTTGATTTTTCGTCGGCCGATAGTTTAGTCGGGCAGTTGATCAGTATGGGCATGTATGGGGGTGCGCACACTACGCCGATTCGATTTGGCCGATTCTTCATACAATTTAAAATCGGGCACAACTATCGGCCAACTAAAAATCAACGGTGTGCGCCTACTCTTACACTCAAGTTTTTAAGTCATTTATAGGCTTTTAAAAATTAAAATTCCACTGGTTCATTATAATAACCTTAGGATTGATTTACAACATAGGGTAAACCACCCAATCATTGGCACTCTACCAATTTATTGGCATGCTCCAGTTTTTTAAGAAAATTAAGATTGTTTGTAGCCAAACCTTATATTTTTTAGTAGAAATTGTAGAGTAATATCATTTATTACTCAACTGGCTACACACGTTTTTTATTTTTTCACACATCGCGGCGCTTCAACCATTTGTTTGACAAACCGGGACCTGTGCGGAAAAAACAATCGAAATATTCGTTTTTTACTAAGGTAAGAGCTATCATAATCTTTAAAAAAAATGCAAATCAATTTTGTTGTTCTTATACATAATCATTTTGTCTTATTATTGCAAATTTGCAAATTTTACCGGTTTTGTGAAGTAGCTGCTTAAAGTGCCAATAATTGGGTGGTTTACCCTATTTCAAAAAAGGTGTAAGACCCTATTGGTGAAAAGTATTAATTAATCATTATAGTTCATTCAGCTTATGGTGGTGATTTAGACAGATGAAACATTTCGTTTCATGAATCCAAATTCCTAAGAATAAAAATATTTAAGTGTAAAAATCGATCACTTTTTTGTGATTTTATCCTTTAAAAAATACACTTAATAATCTTTCTCAATTAACCTAAACAAGAATTTCAAATACTTATTAGTTTATTAATTATTAAAATGCGTTAATTGGAACTTTTTCTCATAGGGATGGACGAGAATAATCGCAACCAATCAATAATCGGTACGGTGGTCATCTCACCATCGAATCACAATTATTCTCTCAGGCAGGTCAAAGGTCAGTCATTACGTGTGCGTTTGCCTTGTATGGGCCGGTTGTGTTTTATGCGATTTCTCAACGAGTTGTTTGTCATTGTTATTTGTTGTTTTTATAGAATAAAATGCATTATATTTAATTCTTTGTAATTTATTGTGTAACAACGTTTATCACATATCTGGATAATTAAAATTCTTAGATATAATTTTGATTTTTCGTATATAAAATTAAAAATCAAACAGATCAAAACTCGATTAGATTTCTTAAGAAAATATTCTCGATTCTAAAAAATATCGATTAGGTTTAAAAGAAGCGCCTCACTAAATAGAAGTGTCATAATCACGCTTCTTACGCTGAATAGACTATAATGTAGCGTCGCTTACCTCTGAGTGCCGGCGAAGACGGCGCGGGTGAGGATGAAGGGCCGGTACTTGCCGTCGCTGCGGTCCAACATGCCCTGGTGTGTCGCACGAATATGGAATAATCCGTACTCGTTGTGGATGTGCCTGGAATGGACCAGGTTACATTATAATTATTCCTTTACTGTCAGCCATAGACACACAACCGCCGCTACCAACCGGGCAACATGTAAAGCATTGGGGGAGGCCTATGTTCAGCAGTGGACGACTTATGGCTGAGATGATGATACACACAGTAAGAATAAGGATGTTTTCTGGATAAAAAACAAGAGTTTGTATTATGCCCGTTTTCACCATCAATCCCTAATTTTTAAGTGACCCCTATGCACAGTGTTTTAGAAACCCTCAAAATCGGACATGATTAAGTTAATGCCATGAGTCGATAGCGTCTTATGTTTCAATCACAAGAGTGAAACTCACGTGTGCTCATTTTACTTGCTTTTTGAGAAAAAAATTGTGAAAGTTGGCCGTTTTTAAAATTCCTAAAAATGAAAAAAAATATTTTTTAATAATTAAGAGGGTTTGTAAACTTGTGATATAGCTAATTCGATTGATCATTAAAAGACGCATGTATTGTACTTTATTTCATTTCTACAAGTCAAGTAGTTCCAGAGATTTTAATTATTTTTCATTATTTAGACTTTATTTTTTTTCTTCCATCCTAAATGGAATCCGCAATTTTATTTCATACTGAACAATACTTTGGTATAGCCTCTATATAGAAATGTTTTTATCTTTCGTGGATCGTGTCTTGTACCAGAGATATCTGAATTTCTTTTTTTTTATTTTCGCCTATACAATTTTTTATAGCAATGTTTCATCGATGCATTGGAATATGATAAGGCGTTTTAAAGAATAATTACAAGGGGACTTGGTCGTCAAAAATACGTGTCTCCCGTGCCAAATACATTGTGTCGTTTATATTATTATGGACTTTTCATCCTCTGTACTGTGTTCGGTATCTCCAGTATCTTCGGTGTCTTGGTGTTCGTGTTGGCAAGGTTGAAGTAATGAAAGTACTGCTTTAGAGAAAGGTATTCTTTTCAATTTAATTTGCTAAATGGGTTTTAGCAATCGCCCTACGAGTGTGGACCCCTTCCCGTGCCACACACAACCCTTCATCGGAGTATAGTTAACGTCAGATTATATTTCAATGCGTAGATGAAACATTGCTATAAAAAATTGTATAGGCGAAAATAAAAATAATAAAAATTCATACATCTCTGGTACAAGACACGATCCACAGAAGATAAAAATATTTCTACATAGAGGCTATACCAAAGTATTGTTCAGTATGAAATAAAATTGCGGATTCCGTTTAGGATGGAAGAAAAAAATATATGAATTTCTTTTTTTTTATTTTCGCCTATACAATTTTTTATAGCAATGTTTCATCGACGCATTGGAATATGATAAGGCGTTTTAAAGAATAATTACAAGGGGACTTCGTCGTCAAAAATACGTGTCTCCCGTGCCAAATACATTGTGTCGTTCATATTATTATGGACTTTTCATCCTCTGTACTGTGTTCGGTATCTCCAGTATCTTCGGTGTCTTGGTGTTCGTGTTGGCAAGGTTGAAGTAATGAAAGTACTGCTTTAGAGAAAGGTATTCTTTTCAATTTAATTTGCTAAATGGGTTTTAGCAATCGCCCTACGAGTGTGGACCCCTTCCCGTGCCACACACAACCCTTCATCGGAGTATAGTTAACGTCAGATTATATTTCAATGCGTAGATGAAACATTGCTATAATAAATTGTACAGACGAAAATAAAAAAAAAATAAAAATTCATATATCTCTGGTACAAGACACGATCCACAAAAGATAAAAATATTTCTACATAGAGGCTATACCAAAGTATTGTTCAGTATGAAATAAAATTGCGGATTCCATTTAGGATGGAAGAAAAAAAATAAAGTCTAAATAATGAAAAATAATTAAAATCTCTGGAACTACTTGACTTGTAGAAATGAAATAAAGTACAATACATGCGTCTTTTAATGATCAATCGAATCAGCTTTATCACAAGTTTACAAACCCTCTTAATTATTAAAAAAAATTTTTTTTCATTTTTAGGAATTTTAAAAACGGCCAACTTTCACAATTTTTTTCTCAAAAACCAAGTAAAATGAGCACACGTGAGTTTCACTCTTGTGATTGAGACATAAGACGCTATCGACTCATGGCATTAACTTAATCATGTCCGATTTTGAGGGTTTCTAAAACACTGTGCTATGGTAACACATAACATGAATGTTTTCATAGGGTTCACTTAAAAATTGGTGAAAACTTATCAAAAAATTACACAATAAATGATTTGATTTGAAAAAAATACTCGACACTTTCACTTTTTCAAACTAATGAAAATTTAAAGGGATAGGGGCGTCAAATTTCAAAAGAAGAGGCCCGTGACATCAAGGAGTGTTTAAAAATGTGGCACTTTGTAACGTCACGCGGAACTTGGACGCATTATAATTTCGTAATAAATAATAAATACTTATTTGATTGACAAAGACGGACTAAGTTTTTTTAGGAAACTAGCCTATTACAGGTCACAGTTATGGCGTCAGACTTAATAAGCTGCCTATCGCCATAGACGAGTGGCATGATCATTTAAACGAGATAGCGTTTTAATCAGCGTATTTCATCAATCGCGAACGAGGACAGTTAAACGTTACAGTTTGTTCAGTCATATTACACTGCTGAACATATTGCAATCTGGCCAAATTATCTGGTAAGCATTTTCATTACTTCGACCAGAATTTTACCTTTAAAGTACAGTCAAATATATAGATCTTAAAGTCCGCCAAGCAATACAATTACGCGCGAGCGGTAAGGCTTGGGATCATTGGACGAAATTGGTCTGCTCGGCGCCGGACTTTAGTTAGGATGATTATTTTTTCACAAGATATTCAAGAATAAGGGTCGATTTTGCTAAAAACCAAAACAATAATAAAGCTCTTCTTCTTCTTTTATTGATGGCGATGAACTTGTGCTTTTTCGCCACTGTTCCGCCAATGTCACGTGCGCAGCTTTTACACAGTGATAGTCAAATAAAATAAAATAAAATAATTTAACTACAAGACTAAGCGAACTTATCGACCTAAAACAAAAAAGACATCACAAATGACAATCACGACAAGACAACACAAAAATTTTGTACAGCAGGGGTTGGGGAAAGGGTTGAGGGATGGGGGTGGTTTTAAACGAAAGAAAAAAAAAAGAAAAAAAAAATATGTCACGGGGGTTAATAAATTTCGCAAGGCCAATTTTTTCCTTATCTACAAATTAATTTTGTTAATATTAATGAATTTTACAAGTGAATTTAAAATAGGACAGTTAATGGTGTTAAGTACACTCACCTGTGTTCCCAGAATGTGTGCAAGCCCTGAGCGTCTTCATCGTGCTCGCGGTAGTGACGACAGTCCTTCGGCATGGTGATCTCAGGCCCGTTGAACACCTGCCAAGTAATATCACGTCATCATCATCATAATTCGAGGCTTCCGGCGACTGGGACCGCAATTAACTAGGACCGCGGTCGCCGCCGTCAGTCGCCGGATCCATAAAAAAAAATAATTTTCTTCCGGCGACTGGGATCACTCATAGATAACTTAAAAGAAAATATTATTCAATCCAAAATCGGTACAGTACTAAAATCCATGAGTGGTCCCAGTCGCCGGAAGAAAATTATTTAATTTTTACGCATCCGGCGACTGGGACCGCGGTCCCAGTTAATTGCGGTCCCAGTTGACGGAATCCTCCATAATTCGAGCAGCATCATTTGTTTGTTAACCTAAATAAAATAAAAATAAAATTTTAACCGCCTATGTATTCTCAGCGCCGGCCGATATGTTGTCTGTCACAGAAAAACTTTATCGCGCGCGTCCCTGTTTCGAAAACCGGGATAAAAACTATCCTATGTCCTTTCCCGGGACTCAAACTATCTCTATGCCAAATTTCATCAAACTAGGTTCAGTCGTTTAAGCGTGAAAGAACACAGACAGACAGAGTTACTTTCGCAACTAGGGCATGGAATACCGGAATAAGTTTTATACCGGTATTGATACCGGTATTGAAATTTCAATTACCGGTATACCGAAATTTCAGTATTTTTTCGGTATTTCTTGAGATACTGCTATTTACTGTTTAAATGTTTCCAAGAACGATTAGTAAGTCTCGTTTGCGAAAAGTTATTAATAGGCCAGTAGAATAAGACGTGAAAATTAATCAAATCGGAAATAATTCCTAAAGGTTTTGTTTTAATAGCTTCATTTGTTGCTCATTAAGACTATCCTAAGTTTTCGACTTCGACGGAGGTGTGGTGGGTGGGGCCCCCCGAAAGGGGCATTTTTCCGGTTTTATGGTTATACCGTATAAATAAAGGACTTGCAGTATAGAAAATTGATCTTCATGGCAGGTGAAGGGCATTTAATCCTGCATTGAATAAGACGAAGTTCATATATTTTAGACAAACCGTTTTCGTGCTTATCTTA